GGACACGGGCATATGGGTGGGGGGGGGGGGAGTTTCAGTAGCCGCTTCACGTTGGTCCAGAAAGCGGAAGGCTGAGAAAGACGGGCGCCCACGGGAAATGTGCCCTCCCCCTCTCTGCCTTTCCAAGAAGGAAGGCCGCTCTGTCCCAACCCGCCAGCACAGAGAGCAAACACGGCAGAAGAGGGAGGGGGCCAATCCATGGGCTCTAAAGGTCCTGGGAGGTTTTTTCTAAAAGGCTTCCTGCTTGCATAATCCATACCAATCAATACATAACCTCTTGCAGCATGGGGACAGGCCTGTTTTGCTTCCCAACAGCACTAGAGTAGAATCTTTCTCCCAGAGGAATCCCGGGTGCTGCCTGGTCTATGCATTAAGGGCTACACTTCCAGTTTCCAGGCACATTTTTAATACTCCAAGGGACTTCAGTCTGTTTCTTCTTAATGTCTCAGTCACAATGGCCACAATTCCTCAGGCTACACTAAAATTGTTCACCAGGACTGTTCCTGATTTAAGCATGATACTTTCATTCCCATGGGGGCCGGAAGGTCAAGGCCCCAATATGAGCCTCCCTCCCTCCCTTCTATACATGCACCAGAGAAACAAACTGCACATAGTGATATGAAGGAAGCAGGAAGGTAATTCTGGCTCTTGTAACATCATCTAAATTGGACATGGACAGATATTTTAATGTTGGTCACGCAAAAAAATAAAAACCATTCCTGCAACTTTCCTCCTTGTCTACGGGAAGTGGATAAAAATACACAAGGACAAGGAGCTCATTATAAGTGAGGGAAAATTCAAATGCATCTAAAGTTCACCCCAGGAGATAGTAAAGTTACGATGTGCCGCTGACAGGCCTAAAAAGGGTGGTTTAAGGAGACCTCGATATTAATTTTCCGTCCCACTTCCATCCGTGGATTATTCATCAGGCCTCGCCATCTTTGGGCAATTGCAGTAAGTGCCTTCTTCCAGAGCTAGCCAACTGTTACGAAAGGGAAAGCTACATATAGCAGCCAGTTGCACAGTTGTGTGCTATTGTCTGGAAATGATCCAGGTGCCAAAAATGCTAGTAGTGTGAGGATTTTACTCTGATAACACTAAAGCGGGAAATGCTTTAGAAAGAAGCACCAATAATAGGCTTTGCTGGTCCCTCGTGGTATGTCATCCCCGGAGACTATCCCCGGTTCTTCATTCAAAATGTCTGCTTAATAGGTTTAGTCCTTGTAGAAGATGATGGAATAGAAGCAGATATTTCTTTGAGCTCTCTAGCCCCTCCCAACCATACAGGTACTGAAAACCAGTATTACAGGAAAACAAAGATGGCAGCTGCAAAAAGCAACTTCCACTCTTATTGAGGTGGCTGAGCATTCTGGGTGGATTCACATAACTGCACTCAAGAGCGAGAGAATTCTGTAACCTTGGTATGTCAAAAGGCAAGCATTTACTTCTGCACACTGCGGGTTGAATTCCACGGGCAAGTTCCACCGAAAACCAGCTTCTTCAGAATCAGTTATGAAACCCAGTCTCTTGCTACTTTCAAGGCCCGGATTGGTCAACCTGGTTGCCCACAAACCACAATGCAAGTCCCTGGGAACCACATTTTTTAAAAGCCTCAGACACAAGTCAGAACCATACGTTTATGGTGTCTTTGTGTATGAAAGGAAAGGAGTTTACTGAAATCAAGGGTTCAGAAGCCAATCGCATCTAATGATGGATTTGAAAGCACCACCTATATAGCATCAAGACAAAACAGACAGCTAACCTGACCAGATATCATAAGGGGACCCACAGGGGGAAAAATATCAACGCATGCGGGCTACAGGAAATGACTGGTATAAGCACAAGGACTTTCTCAGCTATCAAGCTTCAAAATATCTTAGAACAATTTGCAAGAGACAGACACTCTATAGCATTGTAAATGTAAACATCAAGATAAGGAACTCCCCAGCTCAGCTTTCAGCATGGCAACCCCCCCCTCCCCCTTGCATTCTAGACTACAACTGCTATGAGCTCCTAACCATCAATTGGAGCTGAGGAAGTTGTGGTTCTGAATTGTTTTAACTAAGTTTAATGGACTCCCTACTAACTATGCCCAGATTTGAGGAACCAAAGCCAGAATCTTAGAACAAGGGTTAGAAATAAATCCCACTCAACTCAGTGGGGCTTCTCTCTATGACATACTTTGGGAAGATTATGCCTTTCAAACGAATACCATTCTTAAGTAGCGGACCTACTTGCAAAACAGTGAAAGGAGCATATTGTACAATGCCTAATAAAAGTATAATGAAGCCGGCTTGCCATGAGGAAGACCCAAAGTCTCAGGCGACCATGAAACGGAATGGGTTCAATCCTTATTTCCCACCAATTAAAGTTATTATGAGAATGGTGAGTACATTATCTTGAGAGCCGTGAGGAAAAAAAAAGGCAAATATAGATGCAGTGAAAATAAAGAAATGAACATGATACGATTACCTGGTATCAAAAAGAGCTGGGAGGAGCCA